CGGGGAGTCTGCTTCTCCCTCTCCCTTTGCCCCTCCCCTTTTTGTGCTTTCTCTCTCTCTCTCTCTCTCTCTCTCTCTCTCTCTCAATAAATAAAATCTTTAAAAAAATGTCCACTGACAATTTATAAAATAGGATGTAAAACTTCTAAGAGAAAATGAGGAAAAAGAAAATTAGATCAGACTCGTAAATTTGGGGAAATCAAAATGGGTCAAATATTAGCATAAATAAATAAATAGATCCTCCTTTTCATGGCAGAGACTCTCCAACTGAGGTATATTATTAAATCTAACTATATGTTCCAATATGATATAAAAAAATTCAAAACAAGAGTGTGAGATGGTAGAAAATATATATTCGTCTCTGCCCCCATTCCTGGTGCACAGCTGCTAAAATCCTTGCCATTTCCTAAGTGATAAGAGCACCAGGAACATCTTTTGCTTTAACATCTGGGTCTTTGATCCTGGTTCCTGGCACAGGGCTCCTGAAACCTTTGTAATTTCCTGGGTGATAGGAGTGCCTTTTGTTCTAATGAGACAGTTCTGGGTGGGCTCCTGGATGAGGGCTGGTCACTGTAAAGACCAAGCTATGATTGGAAGCTTGGAATTTTCAGCCCCACCTTCCATTAATGATCTGTTATGCCTATACGATGGAGTCGCCATAAAAAATCCCCAAAACACGGGGTTTGGAGAGCTTCTGGGTTGGTAAGCAGGAAATACTGGGAGGCTGGCCCACCTGGCAAGGGCCTGGAAGCCAAGCACCCCTCCCACACACCTCGCCCTATGCCTCTCTTCCATCTGGCTGTTCATCTGTAGCCTTTCCCCTTTGTCCTGATAAACGTGTTTCCCTGAGTTCTGTGAGCCACTCTAGCAAATTAGGTGGGGGGCACTGGAACCTGCCATCTACAGCGGTCCAAAGCACAGGCAGCAGCCTGGGCTTGCTCCTGGCATCTAACACGGCAGGAGGAGCAGTCTTGTGGGGCTGAGCCCTTCACCCGTGTGACCTCATGCTATCACCAGGTAGGCGGTGTCAGAATTGCGTTAAATTGTAGGACACCCAGCTGGTGTCACAGACAATTGCTTGGTGGGGAAAAACCTTCACACATTTGATGACCAGAAGCAAGCATCAGAAGTGAAATGTTCTCTGTGAAGATTAAGGCACAGAGGGAAGAAAGACATAGAAGAGAAGAACTGAGTTTCTCCCTACAGAGAAAGGAAAAAACTGAGTTACTTCCGTTACAAAGGGGATGAACAGGACATTACAGACTAAAGTAAACTAAAAAGACAGCAGAGATGGCAATATGAATATCAGGCAAAGCAGAATTTCAACAACAACAAAAAACACATTAACCTACACTTGTGAGATCTTTTATAAAGCTAAATCCTATAATATACCAAGAAGATATAACATCCATGAACCTCAATGCATTAAGTAACAGAACACTGAAATCTGTAAGACAAAAACTGTTTCAAATATAAGAATTGGACAAAACCACAATTATGGTAAAGCTCTTTCTTAAAATTTGACAGATCAAATAGACAAAAAGTAAGGTAACAATGGATTTGAAAACATGATTTAAACATACTTAGTAAAAGGTTTGATGAACTGTATATAACTTTTTTAACTTTTTTACTCCACCAATACAGAATATACATGTGTTTTCAAAGTCCAAAGGACATTTCTAACAGCTGATCATGCAACAGATTATAAGAACACTCTTAACAAAACTGAAATATCAGATAAGCCATAGTGGTGGTAGGGAGATTAGAAAGTAATAATAATAAAAATATAATTAACACTGCCCCCCAGAAGTTGCATGTCTTAAATATCTCAAATTAGTCACAGAGGAAATCAAAGTTGAAATACCAGACTATTTAGGAAATGAGAGTGGAAACACTAATACTATGGCCCACAGCAGAGCTGTGCTCAGGAGAAACTTAAAGGAATCATAAAATTCAGAAATCATAAAAATAACTGAACCAGATTTTTCAACTCAAAATCAGGAGAACAAGATAAATAAAATAAATCATACAAGGACAAGCTAGTAAGAGTAGAAATTAAGAAGGAAAACAGAAACAAAGCAAAATCTAGACATGGTTCTCTTTAACAGGCCAATACAAATACACCATTTGTTCATTCTGTAATTATTTATGTTCTGGGCACACACTCTAAAAACAAATGAAAAGGACAAACTCAGATAAGGCTGTTTTGATTAGAAGGAGTTTAAGTTGATTACTACGGCACAAATACAAACACCTATAATTGAGGGAAATCATGGATTTAAGATTAAAATCAAACCCTGTGATAACCCAGGTGTCAGAGAATAATGACTCACCCAACGAATGTTCTGTGCAAAAGCTCCCTCCTTACCCCTTCACACTTTCTGTTCCTACTGTCTGGAACTCTCTTTGCCCAATATAATCTCTGCTCCAAAGCCACCTGACCAGGAACCCTTCTTTGATCACCCCATTCAACCTCCCATCCTTAGCCTGCTTTGTTTCTCCTCATATGACCATATGAAACATGTTAGTATCGCCCACTAACCCTTGGAGGAGTGGCCTCGTTTTGTTCACTCCTCTCTTTTGGTGCTGAGACCAATCAATGGCTTATAGTAAACTCCAGATAAATATCTGTTAGATGAAGTTGCACCACAAAATATTACCGTGTATGTAGGTGACATGGTTTGATAAGCTCTGTAACACACCTCTGTAAAACCTGATGAGGTTTTATTGTCTTTATGATCTAGATTTTTACATATATCTCAACAGCATGCAGGACAGAAGCAAAGCCAGCCTGGCTCTTCATGCTTTGTAGACCATGGTAGACAATGTCTGGTCCCATGTCTGCTGGGATGAGTAGGGTAGTTCCTCAGGGAAACCTGATTCTCATTCACTGCTGGCTTGTGGTTACATTGTACCCAAACAAGCTCTATGACTCCCGACTAAATTCTAAGCTCCTTAAGATCTGTTTCTTAAAGATCTTTGTATAAACCAAGAGACTTAGTGTTGTGCTTGCTATGCATTCAATACGCTACACTTTTCCCCCAAAAGAATGAATGAAGACAAATAGCAGTCTCCATGGCCTCAGATCTGCAGGAGTAAAGTGGTATCTGGTATCAGGACTCAGGTTCGAGACCTTCAATCTGCCTCTTAGCCCTCAGTGCAATCATCACATCAGGGACCTAACACCTGCTCAGTCCCGAATCCTAACCTGGCTCTGCCACAGATAGTATGCAGGCTGCTCCCACATCTCAGTACCACCCATTTCCAGGGGAGCAAAGCATGCAGGGATTAGAGCCACATGTACCTGAATTCAAATCCTACCTTTCCACTAACCAGTTGTACATTCTGGGGCAAGTTGCTGCTTTATTTCTCTTTCTTTCTACCTTTCTCAGCTCAGAAATGTGGCAGAAGCTGCTAACTGTCCATCAATATCCATTCTTCTTCCTTTTGTCACCTAGGCTGTAGCTGGCCATCGAGCTGCTCAGTTAGAGATCACACGTTCCAACTTTTCTTGCAGCTAGCCAGCTGTAGCTCTGGGACGAAGTTCTGGCCCACAGGAAATGGCTAGAAGTGAGGCCTGCTATTTCCAGGGCACACCCCGAAAAGGAACCAAATCTCCTCTCCTCTTGCCCTCCCCCCTTCGCTCTGGCAGGAACACAGCAGTGGAAACTGAAGCCATCACTTTGGGTCCAGACATAAAAATCATGCAGTGAGGATGGCAGAGCTGCCCTCCCAGTCCTGGGCTGCTCATCCCAAAACTTGTCCATGAAAGAGAAATAAACTCCAATCTTATCTAAACCACTGTATTTCGGGGTCTCCTGATTACAAGACCTTAGACTATACTCTAATTAGTACACTCGATTCTCTTAGTTATACAATGAGAACAATACTAGCCGGGCTGTTGTAAGGAGGCGTATGCAGCAGGATTTACAAAACTGACCGTTATTCTTACCCAGACCTGTGCAGCTTTCCTTTAGCATGATGTCAAAGTCATGGTCTGAGCAGAATAACTGAAAGGGAGACACCTGGAGAGGTTTGATGAGTGCAAGTCAGTCACAGTCAAGATTAGGCACCAGAGTACCACCCCTACCCACTGTCCCTCCCGTGTTCGCCCCTCACCTGTCCCCTCCTCTGCCTGGCCCCCAGCTTTGGGGTTAGCCAGTGGCCTGCTGACTAAGGAAACAACAGGAAGAGAAACCTTTGTGGTCGTGGTGGCATGGGAGGGGTGGGGACAGATATTTGTGAAAGGGAATTTAATTTTTTGCAGTGGGGAATGCTGTATAAATTCTAGCCCTTATCTCTTCATGAGACCTTTGGTAAAATCTTCAGTTCTTATTGTTGTTTGAGGAGCCAAATCTTTTTTTTTAATTTTATTAAGTTTTTAAATTTTAATTCCAGTAGAGTTAACATACGGTGTTATACTAGTTTCAGGTGTACAATATAGTGATTCAGCAGTTCCATACATCGCCCAGCGCTCGTCATGATAAATGCACTCTTTAATCCCCATCACCTGTTTCACCCATCCCGCCACCCACCTGTCCCCCGGTGACCATCAGTTTGTTTTCTGTAGTTTAGAGTCTGTAGGAGCCAAATCTGTTCTGAGGCTATGTTTAAGGGTTGAGTTCAGCTTCACGGACAAGTGTGGAGAAAAGCCTGGGACACTCAGTGCAGCAAGAAAGGAGCAAACTGGGTGGGAGCTGCTGGGAACCCAAGAGCACATTGGTCTGTTTGGGCACCCATCACCCTAAACCACCAGAAAAACTCACTAAAAGTTGGAAAATGGTGATTTTCCAATAGAGACCCATAGTCAAAATTGGAAAGATATATACCATAGGTTCTCGATTAGAATCACTTGAATTTCCCTCCATCCACCTCACCAAAAGTAACTGGTACATCCTTCTATTAATACTCAATTTTGAAATTCATGTATCGTCTGGGAGTTTTGGGGATAGTTAAGGAGGACCCACTTATTAAACTGAAAATTTTCAATCAACACTTACCCCATTGTATTATGGGCTTGGTTCTCCATGTCAAGAAAGTGCTGCATCTGATTTGTTTCTTGATTTTTAATCTATTAGGGGAGAAAATGATCTAGATTACTAAAACGCTTACTTTATTCACCTATAAAGCAAGAAAATTCTGCTATTGGCAAACCACGTAGTGTGCACTTCTCCAAGTGTAGTAGCTCTTGGTCCTACAAAATGCAGAAATTTGGACCTTTTTAACCCCCCCCCCCGCATTTATGACATTGGCTTAGTCATGAGTTGAAATACATGGTATTGGCTGAAATGAGCATTCATTCACTATTTCTTGAAGAACAGCTTGGTGCCAGGTACTTTGCAAAGGGCTCATCACATGAGATGAGTAAAGAGAATTCCTATTGCAGAGGAGTTAAAGCTAAATGTTCTCAAACTTTCCTTTCTTGTCCCTTAAAAGTTCGCCTTTATTTTAAGTAAATTCTCTCTTTGGCCCTTTCTGGGTTTTGTTAGAATAAATATACCATGAGATTTAGGACAAACAGGTTAAGAGTTGCCTAAAAATATAAATCTTAAAATTCCTCAATGGTTTTGTGGGCACCTGTTTACCTGGATGTTATTACTTGCTGAAAGAAAAAGAAGGAAGGAAGGAAGGAAAGAAGGAAGGAAGGAAGGAAGGAAGGAAGGAAGGAAGGAAGGAAGGAAGGAAGGAAGAGAAAGAAAGAAAGAAAGAAAGAAAGAAAGAAAGAGAAAAAGAAAGAAAGAAAAAGAAAGAAAGAAAGAAAGAAAGAAAGAAAGAAAAAGAAAGAAAGAAGGAAAGAAAGAAAGAAAGAAAGAAAGAAAGAAAGAAAGGAAGAAAGAAAGAAAGAAAGAAAGAAAAGAAAGAAAGAAAGAAAGAAAAGAAAAGAAAAGAAAGAAAGGCGGGCGGGAGGAAGGAAGGAAGGAAGGAAAGAAGGAAAGAAAAAAAAGGAAAGAAAAACGTTTTCCCCAGCAACAAAGTTTTAATTAAAAAAAAAACATATATGAGGATAAATGGACAAAGTATTGAAAAGAAATTCAACTCCTCCGAATCACTGAATTAAAGACAATTCAATAGCATACAAGATGGCAGAACAAGGAGGAAGACTCCCGGGCTCACGTCACTTCCAAATTAAAGGAATTAAAGAGAGGTTCTGGGATTGTGTGTGGAGCAGAGAGGTGAGGAGCAGGGATAGGGAACGAAAACTTGACCAGAAGGGACAAATGAATAAACTGATTTTGCAGGTTCTCCTCAATCACTCACTTTAACGTCAGGGAAACCGAGGCACAGACAAGCTAGGTGACTTGCCCAAGGCCACACAGCTAGAACCTACACCTGCTGACTCAGGGAGACCCGGCTTCGGCACTACCCTCCCGACATCCCGGGCTCGCCCCGCCGGCGCGCGCACGGTTCACGCCCAGCCCCCCGCGCAGCAGCCGGCCTGCAGGGGTCCCCGGCCCCCGCCCTGGGCAGGCCCCGCCGAGGGGCGAGGTCGAGGGGGGTCGAGACCGGGTCCCAGGGGCCGGGGCGGGTTACCTGCGCAGCGCCGCGCTCTCCCCAAAGGTCTGAGGTCCCCTGAGCAGGAACGCCGGGGTCACCCTCCGCCCGGCCCGCCCCGAGGGGCCCCGTCGCCCGCCGCCGTGCTCCCGCCACCCGGGCCCGCCCTCCGCGCGGCCGCCGAGGCCGTTAGGGCCTCTCCCGCCGGGCCAGCCGCCTGCGCGCCGCGCCGCCACTGGTTGCCATGGGGACGCGGCCGGAACCGGCCGCCGCCCGGGAGGGGTGCGGGGGGATGGGCTGGGCAGCCGCCGCGGAGGGGCTTTGTCGGGGGGCGGGGGGGCTCCCCGGTTCTCGCTGGTCCTTTCCGTCCCTCAGTTACGCGTCCGGTGTGTGCTCCCTAGACAGCGTCCTCCCGGAAACCGCATTCTGGCTCCTTTCCTCTTCGCGGCTCTCACTAGCCCAGGGTCAGCCACCCAACAGAGGTCGGAGAACTATTTGTTGATTAAAGGAAGAGGGGAGGCGGGGAGGCGGTCTGCATCCAAGTTTCTTTTCTTTTCTGTTTTTTAAGATTCCATTTCTAAGTAATCTCTACACCGAAGGTGGGGCTTGAACTCACAACCCCAGAGATCAAGAGTCGAATGCTCTTGAGCCAGCCATGCTCCCCTGTATCCAACTTTCTTAAATTCCCCCGGCCCTCCTCCCTCTTACCCACGTTTGAAGTGGTATCAGAAATGAAATAGACTTGGGGTAAAGAGAACTGCCTTTCTCTTCGCCAAGGTGTCTTTCACCTCAGAAGAGCTGGGGGGTTTCAAACTCCATTGCTCCGCGCACCGCTACTCTGGTCGTTCTAATAGCAGCAACTGTCCCTGTTTATCCCACACAGCGCCCTGGTCCTTCGCGCAACTTTGCCAGTTAGGCGGAGCAGGCAGGATTGCCTCCCTTTTTAGGGAGAAGAAAATAGCTCCTAAGTAGGGGAAGGAGGGAACCGAGTGACTGATTCCAAATTCTTTTCTTTTTTCACTGAATTCCAAGAATAATTGATGATGGACGCTCTGTCTCATAGTTCTGATTTCAAAAAACAGGAAAGAATATATGCATATATACTTGTATACACACACACACACGATTTTTTCTATTGATACCTTGGGTAATATTTTTAAGCACTTGAATTTGTATTTGGAAAATATTTTTGCCTCAATTTTAGGAACAGCGTTCTTTCTCAAACATCCAGTTGATTAACATCTAATTCTTAAAATCTTTGCACTGCACTTTCATGACATCAACATTAATTTGCTCCTTAAAATGACTATCAATTTAACATTGACCCCAATCCCTCCATCCAGGTTCCATTTGAATTTCAAAAAACCATTTGCTGTTTCTTGACAAATTAAGTTTCCTAGATGAATTGTGTAAAGTAACTTAGGTCATTTGTTCTAATAAGTGTTTCATAGCTCTCATTATGATTGAATGAAGAGAGTGATCATTTCACCTTAACTTGAAACTTTCCATTATTCTGGAAACCTTAAGTCATATTCTTTATTCTTGTCTAAGCTTAATGGGTCAATGTATTTATATGACCCGAAGAAGGGAAAATGGAAGTAGGAACAAAATTTAATGAAGTTTCAGGATGCCCGATATCACTCACGCTGAGGGACGCTTTACCATTGGTAAGTACTTTCACGATCGTTATTTCCTTAGATGCTCAGAAGTACCATGTGACATATGTAACAGGAGTTATTATAGCTCTTTTTAGCAGAATAGGAACCTAAACCTCAGGATAATGGATTTGTCCAAGATGATACATCTAGCTCAAATGCAGCTAAGATAATGAACCTAGATCGTCTTACTCTAAATTCAGTGCTCCTCAAACTCTGTCCAAAAGTTAAGGTTGAGTAGGTTTCTTGAGCAGACATACCTACTTGCATAGGTAACTGTAGATGTGTTTAAAGCCACATTTTTACAGGAAAGAATGGGTGTGGGCAGGGCTTGCAAAGCATAGGTATGTGATGGAGTTTAAGAAAATTTCAATATAGAATGGAAACACTCCACTCAATTTAATAGGAATAGAGGCTCAAAATGTAAAGACCTACCTTCCCACCACCTCACTGCCCCCCACCCTTCAAACAAAAAGTAACTGCAAAGACTGGAATTTACCCTGAAGTGGACCTATTACTGTATCTTTTCAGATGAAATTGTTGTGAAAGGGATGAGGAAAGCAGGAAGTCCCCCAGTCTAAAGGAGGGGAAGATATGACGAGGCTGCTGGTAAGAGATAGCAAGAGAACTCAGTCCTGAAAGAGACTGAGGCCAGAATAAGACATAAAATATAACCAGAAATGGTCAAAAGAGAGTATAGAAGACATATATGTCTGAAGAAGAAGAATGATCTGTGGAGGAGAAGCTAGGGGACCAATGATATAAAATAAATAATAATCATAGCCATATATTGAGCCTTAAAAATGGAGAAACTATCATTAACAAAATAGTTTTCACAGCAAAACTTGCAATAACAGCACAGAAAAGGAATGTGCACTTTAGCATATACAGGGTTATATAAATTAGCTTGACATCTTTTTTACAAGGGAAATACTTACTTTTTATCTTCAAAAGAAGGTTTAAAATTATATATACATTATAATGAAAAGCTAAGTCCATCTTATCCAGGGAAAATATTTTAGGAGAAATTTTAATATAATAAAGATCAAGTAATCATAGAAATGGAAGAAACCATAGAGGGAACATGGTTCAACCCTTTCATTTTATATAAAGAAACTCAGACCCAAAGAGTTAAAATGATTTGACTACCTTCATGGCATAACTTATTTCCTGGGATCAGGCACAGCAGGAGCTAAAGTGAAAAGTCCCAGTGAGGAAAACGAATTTGGAGCCCCCTCTGGGGAGTCAACTCGTTCTAGAATTTCATCTCTGTTAAAGATTTTCAAGTCCCAAGCTAATATGATAGTGAGAAATCATTGGGTTAAAGTCTACGAAAAGGCAAGAACCTAGAGAAGTGGGCCCAGCACTCAATGCTGCTTTTGCCTGGGAGGTATTTGATGCTCTGGAAGGAATAACTACAAAGGTGGTTTTGTTGGTCCTATGAAGCAAAGAGGACAAAAGACAAAGCCTGGCCTTACTCCAGGTAAGGAGTTCTGCCTTTAAATCAGAACCCCACAGGGCTTTGCCCTCAGGAAAATGGTGAGATGGAAATAAATAAATACCCTCACCGATTTGTAACCCAGTTTGGGATTGCCTGGGTAATTCAGGACAGCCTCAGTCTCTGAGCATGGATGAGGCAGTATTGGACTGGTAGATTAAGACACCTGGAGGAAACAAGCAGACATTTTCTTTGGTGAAGATTAAAATCATTCTAGACCTCAAATTACTCTGAATAATAATTTCTCAAATACAATGACCAGAACATCCTCAAATATAATCCAGGGCCAGGAAACAAGATGCCATCAGGGAAAACCAATAGAAACTATAGACCACAGAAACAAAACCACAGAAGCCTTAGATCCTGGAATCAGAAAACAATTGTAAAACTATGAATAGTATGGCTAAAGACAAAAAGACAAGATTGAAAAAGTCTTTAGGGAGACTAAATATAAAAAGTGACTTAGCGGGACACCTGGAGTCAGTTGAGCATCCGGCTCTTGGTTTTGGCTCAGGTCATGATCTCGGGCTGTGGGGTGGAGCCCCACATCAGGCTCTGCACTCAGCACAATCTGCTTCATATTCTCTCTTCCTCTCCTTCCCATTCACTCCCTCTCAAATAAAGTCTTAAAAAAAGGCAACTTAACATCTTTGAAAAGGAACCAAACAGAAATTCTAGAACCAAAAAAAAAATTACTAATGACCATAATTAAGAACACGACAGATGTGTGTACTAGTAGTTTGATACAGGTGCAGAGAGAATTTGTGAACTAGAAAATAGATCAGAAGAAAATTTGCAGATAGTAGAGAGAAGACAAAACAATGAAAAATATTTTAAGATGAAGGTTTCCAACTTTAGTATTTTTTAATATAATTATTTATTGTTATGAAAATAAAACAGATAATATATGTGAATATACCCTGTTCATGCCCTAGCCTATAGTGGGTACTCAAGAAGTATTTGTTTAATTTGAAATAAAAAGATTTAATTTGCATAACTTGCAAATCATCTTTGTCACTTTTTATAATTCCTGTTTCTGTGTCAAATGTTCAAGCTTCTCTTTTAATTTTTTAAACATATTACTCATAGTCATTTTTTATTTTGTGTCTTATGATTCCAAACTCAAAAATTTCAAGAACTATCAATGCTACTTCTTATCATGTTGTCTTATTTGTGTGTGTGTGTGTTTTATGATTTTTGACTATGAGATAATTTGGGGAGAAGAACTTATTTCTGAGACATCTTTGAGGCTACATTAAGGTTAAATTCTTCCAGAGAGGATTTGCATTTGCTTTTGAAGTTGCCTGGGGGCCTACTCAACCCCAAACCACTTTATATTAAATTCTTCACAGGAAAATTTTCAGACAATACAGGTAATATGAATGAATGAAAAATAAGTGTAGGGACAACTTACAATACAAATTTCCAGAGAAAGAATTTCCCTTCACTTGGGACCAAAGTCAAGATGGATGTGTTTTCTGCTATTCTATTGTTGTGACTTAAAAAAAAAAGTAAGTCTTTTATTTTAGAACAGTTTTAGATTTAAGAAAAACTGTAAAGATAATATAAAAAGTTTCCTTATACCCCACATCCAGTAGACCTTATTAACAGCATCTTACATTAGTATAGTCCTTTTGTCACAATTAATAAACCAATACTGGTACATTATTATTAAATAAAGTCCATATTTTACTCATATTCCCTTAGTTTTTACCTAATGTCCTTTTTTTTCTGTTGCAGGGCCCCATCCAGGATAACACCTTACATTTAGTTACCAGGTCTCCTTGGGCATTTCTTGGCTGTGACAGTTTCTAAGAATTTCCTTGTTTTTGATCATCTTGACAGTTTCAAGAAGTGCTGGTTAGGGGTTTTGTGGAATGTCCCTCAAATGGAATTTGTCTAGTGTTTTTCTCCTGATTAGACTGGGATTATGGGTTTGGGGAGGAAGATCACAGAAATAAACTGCGATTTTTAGCACACTGGATCAAGGGTACCAGCTATCATGTCCACAATAGCCAAACTATGGAAAGAACCTAGATGTCCATCAACAGATGAATGGATAAAGATGTGGTGTGTGTGTGTTTTGTGTGTATACATGCACACACACACAATGGAATATTATGCAGCCAACAAAAAGATGAAATTTTGCCATTTGCAACGACATGGATGGAACTAGAGTGTATTATGCTAAGTGAAATAAGTCAATCAGAGAAAGACAAGTATCATATGATCTCACTGATATGAGGAATTTGAGAAATAAGACAGGATCATAGGGGAAGGGAGGGGAAAATGAAATAAGATGAAACCAGAGAGGGAGACAAACCATAAGAGACTCTTAATCTCAGGAAACAAACTGAGGGTTTCTAGAGTGGTGGGGGGTGGGAGGGATGGAGTGGCTGGGTGATGGACAATGCAGAAAGTAGGTGCTATGGTGAGCGCTGTGAGTTGTGTCAGACTGATGAATCACAGACCTGTACCCCTGAAACAAATAATACATTATATGTTAATACATTTTTTTTAAAAAAGGGTACCTGCTATCAACCTGATTTATGTTGATGTTGATCTTGGTCACCTGGTTGAGATGGTGTTGTCATTTCTCTCCAGTGTAAAGTTACGCCCTCAACCCTTTCCATACTAGACTCTTGAGAAGAAAGTCACCGTGTGTGGCCCACAATTAAGGAATAGAGAATATGCTCCATCACCTTCTTAAGGGTAGGGTATATTTTTTAATTTAAAAGAGTTGTTTTTTTTAAGATTTATTTATTTATTTGAGAGAGAGAGACAGAC